AGAAATATGAGTTTCGACATGGTATAAAATGATAATTTTAGCTTTATCTATATATAAAGTTTTAAAATTAATTGCTGACTACTTAGATTAAAAAATGACATAATTTTTGTTGGAATTAATAAAAATTAATGAAAAATTAAAATATGAAAAGTAATTTTCTAGCAAAAAATATTTCACGGCAAACAATTGAAACGTGTGTCTGCAGATGATATGCCAGACAATGGACTCAACACTCAAGCTGAATTAAAAGTATGTGTGTGTGTGTTTGTGTGTTTGAATGTGTGTGTGTTAAAATGTGTATGTTTTTTATGTTCGTGTGAGAATTTGTGAATGAGTGTGTGTTTGTATGTGTGTGCGCGCTTGCATTAACTGGTTTAACGCTCTGGTGATGGCTGTGATTGAGATATTTTTCAGTTTTTACTGATGTTTTTATCAATCATAATTTAGGTTTTAATCAAAAATAAATTCGTCTCGGTAAGCCCAAGTGCCAGATTTTTGAATTTGCAGACAACATTCTGTATATTAAACACGTCAAATGTTCATCTTTGATGAAAGTTGCATTGGTTTTGTGACGATTAACAGACTACTTAATTCATTTGGTATCAAATTGTACAACCTGAAACTCATAGAAATAAACAAATTTAATGCTTAATAGAGAGAACAATTGAACGTCTCGAACAAATACGACACCTTCAAAAATGCCATCAAGAATAAAATAATCGAACGGAATGAGAGAGTTGTAACATGGTGGCAACAATATTTCATAATGTAACAATAACGTTAATGATATTAACAATAACAAAGTCACAAACAATTATTCTGTTATTTAAAAACTTGTATAACGCTTCAGGCATGGCGTCAAAAGTGCTTTCAACACATGATTATTTTCTAAATGATTCTACAGGAATGAGATCCTTCTTTTAAATGATTCTTGAAAAGTTGAGTTAAGACGAAAGTTGTCGAAAATGGTGGTAAAAAAATATCTCAAGTATAAAAAATTATTTTATGTATAGAAGAAAATATTTCATATTTAAGAGGGAATGATTCAAATATGAAAAGAAATATTTCACATTCATTTTATGAGAGAAAAATTTCAAGTTAAAAAAGAATCGAAAGTAAATGTTTTTGAGCAAGCATTGAAGAAGCGATGAACGTTCAGCCGGTGGTTGGCGGATGAATGATGTAGCGCTGACGGGCTGGTGTTTGAACCAATGAAGATTTTGGTAGGGTAACACGAGAACTGAATGTTTGAACGTGGTGCTCGAACCAACTCTAAACTGCTTGGTAGGCCAAATTGCTCGTTGTGCTGATGCTTTCACTGCCATATGATGCAAGTTTTAAAATGACCTTTCAAGAAAAACTGCCAGACTCATCCAGACATCCTCAACAAACACCCTCGTTCCAGTTTTTCCACTTCCTTTCTAACGCTGGACTGGTTTTTAAAGTTTTTACTAACATTATTTTCAAACTTGCGGGTTTGTTTTTTTAAATCCCATCGACAAAAACCCCTTCTTAACTATTGATATATAAAATACTTCCTATCTTGTCAGAAAACACCGGATCACTTTGCGCATCTTAAACGAAATTTTTTAGTGTTGTATTCCATCCTACCTTGCTGCTTGCGGTTTTTTATAAAATGTAAAAATGTTAAAAACTTCTTTGTTATTTAAAAAATATTAGAAAATTTTTTAAACGCGTACGAAAGTTCTGGGCACCTCTGAAGCAGCGTCGCTTTATCGCAACACAAATGTTCGCACTGTTGTTAGCATGCATGAATAAAAATCTTGACTAAAATTTATTCTCATCATGGATAAGCTTATAATCATTTTATAGAAAATATTTGTTAAATATCTCGAAAGTCAGAAAAAAATTAGAGGAAAGAGAATAATGAAAATGGCGGATTAACATGAAAGGGACAAAAAAGTTCTGCAGCAGAAGACTTCATCCTGCACGAAGTAACGACGATAATAAGAATAATAATAACAATAAAATAACAATAAAAAGACAAAATAATAATAAGAAGAAAAAGAAAAAACAATAATAATAATAATGAAAAGAACAATAATAATAATAATAATAATAATAATAACGAAAAGCTTCTTGAAGTCAAATTATTTCAACTGAGATAAAACAAAATTTAGAGTTGCCATTAAAAAAACGACAGTCCCGACGAGAAACAACAACAGACGCTCAAAATGGCGAAGAGACAGAGTAATGATAAAAATAAAAATAGTAAGAGTTAAGTACAATTTAATAAGAGTAATAATAAGAATGGGGGGTTAGTCTATAATAAGAGTAATAATAATAATAATAATGGGAGAAGTTAACCTATAATAGGAATAGATTAGATTTAACAAGAGTGGGAACAAGAAAATTATTATAAATATATATCTCTCTTAATCTTATCATAACCAGGTTATTAAGAATTTCAGAAATATCATCAATAATTTGTTGCTTGATGATGACGATGATGATAATGAGAACGGTGATGGTAGTGATGACGACCACGACGACGACGATGATGAGGAGGATGATGAGGATGATGATGGTTTTTATGATGATGATAATGATAATGATGATGATTTTTATGATGATGATAATGATGATGAGTTTTATGATGATGATAATGATGATGATTTTTATGATGATGATGGTTTTTATGATGATGATAATGATAATGATGATGATTTTTATGATGATGATAATGATGATGATTTTTATGATGATGATGGTTTTTATGATGATGATAATGATAATGATGATGATTTTTATGATGATGATGGTGATGATGATGTTGACGTTGAGGTTGATGATGATGATGATAACAATAATGGCGATGATATTAATAATCAAAATTTTATCATCAAGACCGCAACAATAATGTTGAGGATGATGATGTTGTTGATGATGATAAGAGATTTGGCTGATGATGCTGGTCAGAAAGATAAAAGTCATTATGACGTTGTATTTTTTTAACAATTTCAAAAACTGTCATTAAATAAATATGTATGGCATAGAGTAAAGAAAATTTAAATAACGAAACCAAAAACGAAACCAAATAAAAAAACATCGCTAATAAACAAAAATAACTTGATAACATATCCAACACTGATGACGAATGTATCAATATGGCCATTTGGATCTGACATGTTCGATCCAATGGAATGAATAAAACTGGCCATTCAGTCAACGTGAACAGACGTAAACTGTTTTGTAACGATACTTAACGACACTAACGATGCTAACTTACTTATCGATACTAAAGATACTTAACGATACTAACGATACTAACTATAACGATATTAACGATACTTAACGATACTATCGATACTTATCGATACATAACGATACTTATCGATACTAAACTTAATGATCTGTTGCATATTTCCTACCATATCTTACAGTGTGATAGGTAAATTAAAGTAACATTTCAGTTAAGTATGGAAGGTTACGAGTGGGGAAAGCATTGCCGGTGGATAAAACTGAATGTTCACCTGTTAATGAAAATAATGAATTGATACGCCCGTAATGTTGTCAGCAGTGAATGGGTTATATTATTATTATCTCGAATGTATGCGACATGTTGTTCTTCAATAAATGTCAATCATCTTTTTTGCCGTGAGGGTTATGTTGTAAATAATAATTATAGAATGAATAGACTTTGCTAAGCTGACGTTGAAAGGCTTGTAGTTTAGGCGCAAGTCACTTCAAAAACGTTCTCTAAATCAAAAGTTTTAAAGATTAAAAGTAGTTAAAAAAATTCAATAAAATAAAAATTTTTGTTGAATAAAAATCAATTTCCTTCACTTAAGAGTTGTTGCAGATGTGCCATGCTTCCCATGAAAAAAACCAAAAAAAAAATACAAACGCACAAGCAAGCAATTCAATAAAAAAACAAATTTATGGATCGAATTGTGAACGCCAGTTTTTGGGGTTTTCATTTAAAAGCAATAATGCCTGTGTAATCGAGACATGTGCAAGAACCATCAATGTTTATTTTATTAACCAACACCTACTGGCCATCAATATTCTACATTGTTTGACATCAAAATGCGGCGAGTAAGTTAAGTTAATGCCATGTTGACGTCACGGTGACGTCATGTTAGTGCCAGGAGAGCATCAACAACAATGCAAACCCCAATAATTCACAAGCAGTTCGATCAAACAAATAGGCACATAAGCCTATTCAAATTACAAACACATGTCCCCTCTATAATCTCTGGGTTTTTATTCATTTTTTCATTAGTTTGTTGGTGAAACAAATCATAAAAATAATAATAACGGCCTCCCATTACGTTATTAATATTTGGTTTTAAATTTTGTCATTACATTTTTCCCCATTACGGCCTTAGGGACCGTTAAATTATTTCTACACCTGCTTGAAAAAATGTCGAATTGATTTTTTTGTAATTTATTGAAAGAATATTATTTACCAGAGTGCATTTTATATAATGTATTTTTTATTTCGTTAGAATAAAGATAAAACAATAGCAAAAACAAACTATAAAAAAAAATAATAATTTTCTTTGCCAGTTTGAATTCAAAGCAACTAGAATCTGTTCAGAATGTTTGCGAATGAATGGTCGGTTGTCACATTGATAAGTATGGAGTAATTCAGCGCTGAATTTGAGGGGACGATCAATCCAGTGCAAGTCAGAAAAAATATTTTGCTGTTGTTGTTAAGTGAATGCTGGCAGTTATGTAGGGGTGTTGCGTGTTTGCTAATGTTGTTTGTTGCTGTTATTAATCCAGTTAATGTAATTGTTGTTAACGTAATTGTTGTTAACGGTGACCCGTCAAAATAGCGCCGACAAAATGGCGAATAACAAAATGGTGAAAAATAAATTTAGAAATCATAACTTATTAAATGTCAATTTTATAGTTGAAACCATTAGAATAGTTGTTGTAAACTATTATATTTTAAACTTTGGAACAAAATTGTAAAAACGGCTAGTCAAAAACCATAAACTTAATGTATTTAATATTATGGATATGTTATAATGAATTCTGAAAAGGCTGGTCAGAAAGCAAAAAACACCGTATTTCCAACCTGCAAACTATTTAGTTATTTATTCCACCTTGAACAAGGCCTCGGGGGTAAAGTGAAGTGCAAGAAGAAAATCTCACTACTACATAAACTACATATTGAAAACATGAAAACCACAATTATTTGTAAAAAAAAGCTGCTAGCTCTTTCATTTGTTCCACTACTGCATCAAGTCATCACTGCATTTGAAGTACTAAGTGAAACTTACTCAGGTGTTCTAGAAAAAGTGTGCGAATACTGGGAAGATAATTATAGTGGTCGTGAAAAACAAAACCGCCAAGTGACAGCACGATTTCCAGTGACATTTAGGAATGTTCGCGATCGGTGCAGGAGAACCTGGTACGAACAAATAACTCAGTTGAGGGATGGCATCATGCATCCCGTTGATTGTCACCACCCGAATGTTTGCAAGCTTATTGATCACTTCCGCAAAGAACATAAGTTTACCGAAGACAAAATGGTTCAGCACAATGGAGGAGAACGAAAAAAAGCTGCCAGCAAATCCAAATATCTCAAACTGGATGAATATTTCCAACTTATTACACCATATCAGGAATGGAATTTTTACGTCGCATTGCATATAGTTTTTGACTTTGTAATTTACAGTTTTAATTGGTTTAATAAAATAGTAACGTTTATCACTTAATTAAACTTTGTTTTTTTCCTGTATTTTTTTAAATTTATTTCGAAAAACTAGCTTATATCTAATGAATTTGTTGAGATCTATGTTTTGCAAATTTATTTATACAAAAAATTCATTTCTGCAAAATTTTACCAACGACGCTATGTTGCGCTATTTTGTCTGGGAACTTTTGTTAGCTTAACTGGGTAGAAGAGGTTGATTGTTGTTTTGGTGTTATTTGTGGAGGATATTTCCTATTAAATTTTTTTTTCGGCAATATTTTCATTTCATGTTGATTGGTTGATTGGTTGATTGGTTGGTTGGTTGATTGGTTGTTTAGAGGCGGCTTTGTAATTACCTTCGCCGTCGTGTAAGGTGAGGTAGAATAATTAAAATTCATAACACCTACTTCTAGGATTTGCAAGATGTTTCATTATTATTTTTGAAAAAAAAATGCAATTATTTATTTAATTAATTAAATTCATAATTAATGCATATCATTATTATTAACAATAAAAACAATTTAAAAAAACAATCAGCTGGAAAACATTTTTCTGTTCACGGTTATCATTATTTTTTTTATTTAAAATTTTTTTTTTCATAGATTTATGGTCAGTTGTCATTTACATGAATTTTAAGATTTTAAACTGCAATACCAATATAATTTTTTTTATTTATCGATCAAATTTGTCTTCTAAATTATGTATTCCAGATAGTTGCAGCAGTGGGTTTCAAATAAATTATATAAATTGTTTCCAAATTAATGGAAAATAAAAGAATGGACGCCACAAAAATTATAATTGATTTTATTTCAAATAAATTATATAAATTGTTTCCAAATTAATGGAAAATAAAAGAATGGACGCCACAAAAATTATAATTGATTTTATTTTTACTCCTTGAAACACACAATAAGCACGTCAACTGAAAAATTTTCCTTCGCAAAATTTAATTTTGTTTGTTTTTCTGTCTGAATAATATGAATTCTTAATTGCTAAAAAGTTTTACTAGAATTAATTTTTGCGTCTAAACAAATTTTGCTATTAAATTGAAATGTAAATTTTGAAAGAATAATATCAACAGTTACAACTAATGATAGGTAATGTTAATGTTAAAATAACTAACCCCAAGTAAGAGAACATGTTGAATTTGTGCTGGAGTTGGGAAGATTGCAATCATGCGACTGTATCCATCACTTCAACATTAGCAACCTGCTTCTCGTTTTATCGAGTTTTGCTGATTCCATTCAAATGATTACTCGATATTCATGTTCAAAAACCAAATTTTATTCATATCTTTAATATTATTTTCAATTTTTTCAAATTTAAAAGTTCAGGTTTTCATTGACAAAATTATCCTTAGAGTAATCAATTAGCAACAGTCACATAATCAAATTGTTCCAAACTCAATTACTTATGCCTCCAAAAACGTAACGTACATACATACATTGCTTCGAGCACTGGGAATGTTAGCATTCAACCTGACCACCGTCTTTATAAGAAATATGGCTCACATACATTGTTATAAGTGGTCTTTACATATGCATTGTTATACATATATATAATTATATATTTATATATTGTGTTTATGTATAATTATAGTATATATGTATGTAAATGTAACCACATTTATGTATTTATTTCATATCTATGATATTCAATATCTTTGTTATATGTTTGATCTTTGTTTGGGTTTCGATAAATGTGCTTCGATAAATGTGCTGCGATAAATGTGCTGCACCACGTGATTGACATATTTTATAATTTATTTGATTTATGAGTTTCGTATGAATAAGCCTGTAATTGATTACTGTTTTACAGGTATGTTTTCTTTAATTTATATCTCTGTATTATTTTATATTATTTGATTATATGACATTTAATTTGTTTGAATAAACTGTTTTACAGATTAATAAATCAGGTTTTATTTAGAAACAATCTTACAAATCAATTACAAGTTATATTCCAAAAAAAAAGAAGAGAAAGAAAGAAAGAAAGAGAAGATGTCTTCAGATAAGTTATTTTTTTATATTATAAAAAGAAACGATAATTTCGAATTGACGGCTTTGTCAGAAAATAAATTAGCGTGGTATAATTTGCCCGATGATTATAAAGATTTGGCTGAACATAAAGTTTTATGCTCAAAGCGAGTGATAAAAAATACAATTATGACAATAAAACCGATTAATGGTTACCGCAAAATTGGCATAACGATTGATGACGAATTAAGAAAAGAATATTATGACGAAGACGGCAATTTATGCTTTTTAAACATGCCACTAGA